AAGCAGCCCGCTCGGTCTTGGCGGCCCTGGTACATCTAACTCAGGCTGTCTCGCTGTCCCCTATATATATGGTGGCGGCGTCCTTTGAAGTGAGCGGCGCGTGTACAGTCGTCCTTGATATGGACCTCACGACTATGAAAGTGGTATTCTTAGTCGAAAACACTTTTGGGTGTGGTCGCATTCCTGGTTGTTTTTATGAGCAAATACATGATATTACGTAATCCCATTACACCTCCCTACCAAAGAAAAGATTGTTAACCTTTAAGGGTTAAGAATCTTTAACATCGTTAATTAATATTTTACAACGGTTGAATTACATTGTTTACATTGATTTTTAAATTTTGTATATAGTTAACAATTTGATTACAGTATTACATTTGATTACAATAATGTGAACATTTTACAATTTTTAATGTCATCATTATTATTATTATTGTTTTTTTATTATTCATATTATAATTTGTATATTGTGGTTAGTAAAATAAAATTAATACATGATTTAATTAAATAAATAGTGTTAATAAGAATGATTAATAATCTTTAATAAAATAATATATGTACCTGAAATTATAACATCATAAGCGTTATGTAAGTATAAAATTTAAGTATTTCCCCTTTTATATAATAATAATATTCATCTTCCACCTATATACTAATCTATGTGAATAATCGTTAAATTTGCCATAAACATATGCAACTATGGTTCTATTTAAGGTAATTCATTATGTAATTGGATATAAATGTTAATTTATTTATTTGTTTTCATTGTTTAATTTATTTTGTGTTAGATTTATTTATTAATTATAATAATTTATTTATTTTGCCTTAAAATTCCTTTTATATTTTTTTTTTCTAATTTATATAATTTAATGGGCTTTATTTCCGTTACTATATAATTAAATAGGCATTTTGTTAAAATTACGTCAGCTATCAAGTCATGACAATGTGTAATATTATGATTAATACCGCATGCTAGTTCACGAGCTTCTGACAATCCTAGCATTCTACCATTTTATTACCTAAATAGCCTGAATATAATACTTGCTTAGTTTCTAGGTTTGTTAATTCTAATATAAAATCATCGTTATTCCTAATACTAATTGCAGATATGTTTAAATATTCTAAAATTCCTGTTAACCTTAAACGCTTAATTATTGTGATATCTGATGATCCGTTCCAAAATACTATTAGCGGCTCCCTATCGTTTATGTGCAAATATCTTTGCAAGTATACCGTAGACAAGGTCGATTCCCCCTGGTGACTTACACTTTTGTATAATTGTTCCAGCAATGGTTTAATCACTCTTGCCTTTTTCCCTCGGAATACTCGTTTGATATTCTGCACTATTTTCTTTAGGTCGCATCGGCGAAAACTTCTTAACTTATTATCTTTTGTAAGTATAAGAGGACTCCCCTCCAACTTCTTGGGTTGGTACTTTTCTAAACTATTCGATATCGCGCCGGATACCAGGAATGTTTCGTTCTTACTGACGGTAAAGAACTCGAAATCCATTATAAAAAAGCGTACCTGTGAGCTAAAATAAAATAATAATAATTTTTTTTTTTTTTAAATTAATTGGTTTCTTAGTATTTATTGCTATGTATATAATATATGTTTCCTGAGGTTATTCTTCGAAAATCGTTTCGACGATCACACGCCTCCTGATCATCCTTTCTATTAGTAAACCCAACTCTACACACATGGGTTTATTATGATTTGGTCTTACGATAACCGTGCGTACAAAGTCATTAACATGGAGATAACTCGTGCTAAGATATTTGGCCTGAAAGGTATGGTCATGTTATTATTCGCACTTCTTATGTGTTCCGGGAAGCAATGTAATCTGACTACTTCCCCTCGCATTATCTGTGCATGATTGGTTGATTCAATTAATTCGTTTTTTAACTCTCTGAGAAATTCAAATGTTTGTAGTTGCAATCGAACGGTTCGTGCTACAGGTGGTACGTTCTCACCCATTTTTATACTTTAAATTTTTACGTGTGCTTTTATATATATTTTTTGGTTTTTCTTCTTAATTTCTGAAATAGTTAAAAGTTATTGTTATATAATTATTATTTAGAATATTATTTACGTATATATATATTATTTTTTTTTATGCACGTAATATTATTTTATTTAAATTATAGAATATTATTTTACGTATTATTTCTTTTATGCACGTATAATATTATATTTTATTATTATTTTTTTTATTTCGGTTTATTATTTATTTGTTAAAGAAATCTTTAATTTATTTATCGAATATGTTCTTCGCCATAAATTTGTTGTTGAATATAATATTGATCTAATATTTCTGCGATTTTTAAACACATTGAATTATAGGCTGGTTCGCGGTTGCATCTAGTGCAAAAGAAAGTTGTTAACGGACCCATAACGGTTTCAAGTTCAGATTCGTTAAAAGGTACTTGCGTATTATTATTTGCGTCTATTACGTGTTATCTAAAACAACGTACATATATTGTGTTTCTTAGTACCAATTGATCATGTATTCATGTGTATCATTTAGTAACCTATCCCTTAGTTCCTTAAAAAACATTAAGCTCAGGCATTGGTGTGGGTTCGCTCATGTTTATATATTTTATTATATTTATTTTGAAATCCCTCTTGATTGTTTCCTGAAACATAATTATATATATAGTATTTCTTTAATAGTTTACATATACCTAGCTCTTATTTATTTATTAAATTAATCGTTTACCTCTTAATAAGAACAACTTATGTAGAAAGCGGCCTCGTCGACCGCACCCAAAAGTGGTCATAGCTAGAATAGACGCTTCGAATCACAACAACTTCCCAAGGGCGCCTGCATGCCACGCGCCGCTCAATTCAAAGGGCGTCGCCTTCGTATATTCGTATATATAGAGGCTAGGGCTCCAATACGAATTAGATGTACCAGAGCCGCCAAGACCGAGCGAGCAGCTTAAAGCACCAGCCATTACACACGACTTACATGGAGACTATCAACTACTACAACGAGTCAACTCACGACGCTGCAATTCACCACGACTATATTAATTATTATTGGTTTTAATAAAATACAATTGATTTATATTTAAAATTGACTACATTTTATTGTAAAAGTGCAACAGCCTTTGGATCCCTGAAGGGCCGCACGTAACAACAGTATATTTAATACATAAGTCATTATGTAACTACATAATATATAATATCAATTTGTTATTCATCATTTATTAATTACAAATACAGGTATGTATTTGTTTTATTGATTTGAAACTCATGTAAATATGCATGATCGCACTACCTATATTTTGAGTACTATCTAATTATGTCATATCATTATACAATTTAACTCTTCGAGGGGCCGTGGTTAGTATGCTAACCACTTTTTTTTTACCGTTCAGGTGCGGTGGTTACTATTTTAACCACTTTTAAAATTATTTTTAATATTTTTTTGATGGCGGTCAGCATACCAACAACCTTATTATCATCTTATACATGCATCGAACAATATCACTGCCGCTGGTCTGATATCATTTCCCGCGTTTTTCATCATTTATTATCATTATCAATATTTTGATATACGTACTAAATGTTATGGTAAAGAGACATATTGCCCACATGGTTTTTTTTTCCAAAGGAAATTTTCGCCCCTCAAAGAGTTAACTGCCAGAATTTAATTAAATACATAATATAGTTAGTAATTTTTTGTTTACTAATATACATAATTTAACTCACATAAAAACTGTAATATTATAAGTAGTACCTATGTATACCTACATGTAGGTTAGTTATATTACTATTGTCTATTCATGTAAGTAGAAAATACCCATAGTTATAATAACAAATAGTTTATTTCATATAATACTCATATTTAAACCTATCTATATAAGTCATATCAAATAGTATATAGTCATATCATTATACAATCTAAAATAAAGAGGTACATAAAGTTCTATTTTGTTTATTAATATAGTATTATTTATAATCTGTAGCAGTATTTTAATCTAATAAAATCTTACTGACCTAAAGACTGTAAATCTCAGTGCGGCGGTCGGACAGTAAAAGTGTGCTCCGTGATCAAGTGAACTTTTGAATAGGTCAGGGTAGTGCGTTTTTTGCGTATTATATACCAAAAGTTTCGTCTTGAACAGGTGCTTCTGACGGTGTATCACGCTTCGGTTAGTTAACGAAGCGTTTAGGGCGTTATTAGCGATCGCGGGCGTAAATCCTTTGTTTACGGCCGGTCGCGAAAACCCTTTTTCGTTTTTCTCAGGCCACAGTGCGAATTTCGCGTCGGACCAAAGACCCTTGCTATAGTGCCATCGAGGCGCTAATTTAGAGGTAGGTCGCGTGAACTTTCAGCAAGTTGCAGCAAAGTTGGGCTAAAAAAGTTCAAAGGCTGACACAGGGACCTAGAATAGCGGTACGGAGTCGTGACCTGGACGGTCGGATAGTCTTCATCAAGATAAATCGACCAGTCCAATCAGCGGATCTGTGCGACCCTCAGCGGCTGAGCAATAGGCGTCTAAAGTTAGGTAAGGCGTTTTAAGTGCGCGAGATCGTGCGCGTGCGGGAGAGTACGCGTGAGTCAGGTGGCGGACGTGCGGCGAGCAATGTTCAGGATCGTGCGAGTGCGCGCGATCCGAGTGGTGTACGTGCGGTGCTTCGTGTTTAGGAACGTGCGAGTGCATGCGCGTGCGAGCTCCGTGCGGATCGTGCGGGTGCGTTAGCCGGTCACCCCCTCCGGTTCGCCGGACCGGTATCCGTGTGCGAGTGCGCGGTGCGTGCGCGTACGCGAGTGGCGCGCTAATACAAAACCGCGAACAGATCGGTGTCGATTTTGAGTCGATCTGTATAAGCCTTAGGGCGAAGAATTGCAGCGCTGTCGGCCCTCAGGTAAGGTGTCAGGCTTAATTAATTAAGTTAGCAGAGCTACATCGGCGTTAGTACGTTATCGGAAAAGTCGTTGGGCTTGAGTAGGTAGGCTCGATAGTTTTAGGTTGACTCGTTCCAAGGACATGGTTATGTCCGACATGGATCTCGATAACTCATTCTCGGATGGGGGTGAACTCGAGGAGACAGAGGAAACGTTAGGAGGGGGTGCCGGCGGTTCGGGGCGTCCTTTAGAGGACATCGAAACCCGAGGAAAAGCAAAACGGAGGAAGGTTGTCGACTCCGACGAGGAAGACGTTTCCGAACGTACCTCTGTCGGGATGTCATCTTTCCCAGAAAAGGCTAGGTTGATCGGTAGGGAGATGGACGCTGCCCTTCTCAAGGAGAAGGAAAAGAGGAAGATTTCGGCAGCCTTTCACAGGCAGATCTTGGAGTTTCGAGGGAGGTATGAGGTTTTGCTGGACGAGGCCCTCCGGCAGAACACGGTTCTGCTGGGGAGGGTTGAGGAGGCAAGACGCGTACATTCGTGCGTAGGCTTGGTTAGGGAAGTCGTAGAGGAGGACGTCACGGTCACCGGGAAACCCTCAAAGGCCAAGGTCCCGGCAAAGAAGACGGTCTCAGCAAAGGAGTCGGCCCCCAAGGCTCAAGCAGCCAAGGAGAACGACTTCGTTGTGGTAGTCGGTAAGAAGAAGAAGAGGAAGAAGAAGAAGAAGAAGAGCAAGCAACCAGCGCCAGAAAAGGCCAAGAAGGCCCCGGGGGTGGTCGCCACCGCGACCAAAAAGGCTAAGGCCGTCGAGAGGGAGAAGGCCAGAGCTCCGGCTCGCGCTTTCGTCGTCTCGACGGGCGACGCTGGTGCCGAGGCCGCCAAGAGGGAACTCTGGGCGGACTTGGTAAAGGGCGTGGCTGCGCCAAACTCGGGAACTTCGCCAGGCTCCCCAGAGGCGACCTGGTGGTCAAACCGGCTGACGAGGCGACGTACAAGGCGCTCAAGGAGATGGAGGCCAGCGGAAAGAAGATCACAGAGGAAAAGGCAAGGTGGCCGACCGTCCTCATCTACAACGTGGATAGGGACTTCGGTAGCGAGGTACTCCCAGTTCAGATCGTCGAGCAGAACTCGGGTTTAGGTTTGGTTAAGGAGGACGTGGTCCCCCTCTTCAAGAAGGGGCCCAAGACGGGCGATTTGGTGTGGTGGGTCTGCTCGGTCAGGCCTAGCGCATTCAAGTCCATCGTAGGGAAGAGCCTTTTCATCGGGCTCTCGAAGTGTAGGACTGTTGAAAGTGAAGCTTGACGGACTAATGATGTTAGCATTAATATAATAAGTAATAACACGACAATATGATTATGTATAAGTATAATATATAATAACGTACAACTGGACAATTAACCTGTGACTATACACACACACCGCGTACACTCGGTATGACAGTGTCTGTGCAAGTGAATATTACATACATCAAAGGCCCTATTTATATGAACAATCGAGGCCATCCCATATCCGTATATAATATAGAAAGCGATAGTAAAGGTGTTACACAGCTATATCGTAACTGCATAAGTATCTATTAGAAAACGACATTGTACACGCACGTGTGTTTACATGGTTTGAATACTAATATTAATTGTATATTTCAACACCCTCCCTCAATTAATAATTTCTTTAATTGTAGTCACTCCTATGGCTGACCGCAACTTCTCGAATCGTTCCTTAACCAAAGGCTTAGTTAGAATGTCCGCAATCTGGTCCTCTGTTCCAATGTACTGTAGTTGGAATTGTCCCTCTTCGTATTTCTCCCGTATGAAATGATATCGTACGTCTATGTGTTTTGTCCTCTTATGAAACTCCGGATTCTTAACTAAACGAATAGCACTCTGATTATCAATGAATAATACCGGTTGTTTATCACCTGTTTTTGATAAGCTTATTATCAACCGCGTAATCCACATGATCCCTTTTACAGCTTCACTGGCCGAAATATATTCAGCCTCGGTCGATGACAATGACACACAATGTTGTCTCTGCGATGTCCATGAAATTATGCTCGACCCGTATCTGAATAGAAATCCTGACGTTGAACGTCGTGTCTGAACGTCACCTGCGTAATCTGAATCGCTAAATATTTCTAATGACAATTGTGTATTATGATTAAAATACAAGCCATAATTAAATGTTCGTTTGACATATCGTATAATCCGTTTTACCAAGTTCCAATGACCTTTAGTTGGTTTTGCTAAGTAACGACTAGCAAAGTTTACTGCATATGCTATATCTGGTCTCGTTACCTGTGATAAAAACAGTAAGCTATCTACTGCCTGCCTATAAGGTATTTCTTCACTTAATATCTCCGATTCTTCTTTTTGTTCAATAGTATGTGATTTGTCTATCGGAATTGAAAGTTCCTTGGCGTCCAGCATATTAAATTTATTAATTATGCTACATGCATAATTTGTCTGATGCACAAATAATGAACCATTTTTCATTAAGTTTACCTGCATACCTAGAAAATATTCTAAGTTTCCCTTTTTAACCTCAAACTCTTTCTCCAAGTTCGTTAAAAGTTTCTCTATTATCTCTTCATTATCTGCCGCGATTAAACCATCGTCAACAAATATTGCAAGAATAATTTGACTGTTATCAGCTTTGAATACACATGCATCCGCTTCGGTACATTGTAAACCAAATGCATTCAAAAAGTTCTTAAAGCGTATATTCCAACATCTTGGACTTTGTTTTAAGCCATACAAACTTCGCTGAAGCTTACATACTTGATTTGAGCCATCTTCGTAACCTGGTGGTTGTACCATGTATATTTCTTCCTGTAGTTCCCCGTACAGAAATGCTGTCTTGATGTCGAATTGTCGTAGTATTAATTTTTCCACAGCTGCTACTGCGAATATCGCCCTTATTGATTCGTATCTGACCACTGGCGAAAATGTTTCATGGTAATCTATACCATATTTCTGTGAACAACCCTTAATGACCAATCTGGCCTTAAATTTATCTATACTACCGTCAATTTTATATTTGGTTTTGAACACCCATGCATTTCGTAATGCAACTTTATCCTGTGGCAAATCGACTAGAGTCCAAGTCTGATTTTCGTGTAATGAATTAATTTCGTCGTTCATAGCATTATTCCATTCATTTTTGTTTGACCCAGTAATTGCCTCATCATAATTCAATGGACTGACACAGTTAGCAATAAAAGTCTGAACATTATACCTGTCCGGCTTCTTAAGTGTATTCCTGTCACGTAGAACCATAACATTTCTATCATCGACTATATTTTCGTCCTTCTCACGCACGCCCGTTGAATTAATTTGAGTGTCTGTAAACTCTAATGTGTCTGCAATTACATTTTCATAATTATTACATTCGTCTTCGAATATAATGTCTCTGCACACGGATATTTTATTTGTTTTCGAATACCATACACGATAACCTTTCGTGCTGTTCGAATATCCAACAAATATTCCTTTTTCACTTTTTGGATCCCATTTCTGACGTTTTTGCTTTGGTATGTGTGTATATACCGCAGTACCAAAAACTCGTAAATGTTTAATATCTGGCACGACTTTATAATATAACTCGTAAGGTGGCTTACCAATCTGTGATCTCGTTCCGGTTAGATTAAGTGTATAAACCGCTGTGTTCACAGCTTCTGCCCATAATGACACGTCAAGATTTTTCGCACATATCATTGTCCTGGCAGCTTCTACGATTGTTCTGTTATCACGCTCGACTTTACCGTTCTGTTCCGGCGTATATGCTACCGTAGTTTGGTGTCGTATGCCATATTTCTGTAGAATACCTGTAATATCCTTGTTTACAAATTCTAACCCATTATCTGTCCTTAATATTTTGACTTTAGATCCTGTTTCTGTTTTAACACTTTTTATAAATGTTTCCATAATATTTTTTACTTCATATTTATTCTTAATAAAATATACTGTTCTGTAATGTGAATAGTCATCTCTAAATAGTAAAAAATATTTTGACATACCGATAGAGTCCCTCTGCATCGGTCCACATAAATCTGCATGTATTAAATCGCCGACGTTAAAATATTCGGTCTCACTTTTACTGAACGATTGACGTTTTTGTTTCCCGATTATGCAGTCGCTGCATACAAATTGATCGTCCTTGGCTGAATAATCAATATTATGTTTTGCCAAACAATTCCTCACGTATTGAATATTCTGGTGCGCTAAACGCTTATGCCATACTTCTAATCGTTTTTCTACTGCAATGTTCGCATAACATTCAGCTTTCGATGGTGCTTCAACTTTGATCTGTAATTCAAACAACCTACCGCATCTTGTGCCTATGCATACAGGAATCCCGTTTCTTTTGAACACACACGTTTTGTTGTCTGACGTTAGTTCTAAACCTTTGTCTAACGCTGACCCGCACGAGAATAAATTAAATTTTAATCCCGGCACGTGCAATACATTTGCCAAGTAATTTTTATTCCAATTACCGTTCACGTATGATAATATATTAATATTACCTTTTCCTGTTGCATATAGATTTGTTCCGTCACCTATTGTTACCTGTTGTGTATATTTCAATGGTTCATAACTTGTAAACCATTCTAGGTTCGCGCTCATATGATCCGACGCGCCTGAGTCTAAAACCCACGTATCTGTTGTAGTTTCATTTATCCTTGACTCGCTTACAAATGCATTTAAATTTGTACCTGTAGTACCGGTTTTCCCACCTTTCATACTACTTAGAAAATTCTTACAGTTTCTTTTATAATGACCAATTTTACCACAGTAATAACATTTAACATTACTTTTATTAGTAAATTGTTTTTTACCTTTACCATAACTGCCGTTTTTTCCATCGGATCTGTTTTGAAATTTGGCTGGAAATGCACTCGATTTCTCTTGTTCACCAACTTCACCTTTGATCTGGATAACCCGTGATTCTTCAATCAACAACCGACTAGTTAAATTATTTATATTTTTACTTCCCGTTGGGACTGAATCCCAAGCACTGTAAAAATGATTATATTCTTTTGGTAATGTCATTAGTATTTTTGTCATAACCATGTTATCCGTAACTGGTTCACCCGCTACTCTCAGTTTCCTTCCTAAATTGACCAATTTAGAAATATGCGTCGACATGTCATCTGTCGACTCCTTTGAATAACTGAAAAATTGTTGTTGAAGCAAATGTATACTTGCCTCAGACTTCTGCTCGTAAATACTCAGCAGTTTCTCCCACATTTCCAATGCAGTCTCACAGTTAATCAAATATTGTAATGGACCATCGTCCACTGAGGTAACTATTATTTTCTGACATTTACCGTCCGCTTTTTGCCAAGCTTTTGTCTGCCTTTGCCAACGTGTTTTGGCATCCTCGTCGGTCTCTCCTGCCGACTTTTTTATAGGTAGACTTGGTTTCGTCCATTCACCTGAAACTATCTCACCTACTTCCAAGGCATTTAAAATGACCTTCATCTGGAACTTCCATAACGACCAGTTTTCCGCACATAATTTTGTTATCTTCACCGTGTCTTCCATGACCGATGGATTCCCGTATACTTTCCTGTATAACAATTTATAACAAAACTTTACCTATGTACACTGTTCCGCCGTTTTCCGAAATCCAGGATATCTCCGACTGGTTGTAGTTTTCTGCGTTAATACAAATATAAAAATACTTCGATCATGAATCCACTAGACTGTATGTCTTGGTTATTGACTGGGCCCATAACCTGTTGAAAGTGAAGCTTGACGGACTAATGATGTTAGCATTAATATAATAAGTAATAACACGACAATATGATTATGTATAAGTATAATATATAATAACGTACAACTGGACAATTAACCTGTGACTATACACACACACCGCGTACACTCGGTATGACAGTGTCTGTGCAAGTGAATATTACATACATCAAAGGCCCTATTTATATGAACAATCGAGGCCATCCCGTATCCGTATATAATATAGAAAGCGATAGTAAAGGTGTTACACAGCTATATCGTAACTGCATAAGTATCTATTAGAAAACGACATTGTACACGCACGTGTGTTTACATGGTTTGAATACTAATATTAATTGTATATTTCAACATTGACGTAAATAGGTGCTTCAAATGCCAGGGTTTCGGCCACATGGCAAATCGCTGCAAAGTGACGGAGGACACTTGCGGGCGTTGCGCAGCCAAGGGCCATCGGGCAAAAGACTGCAAGAGCGTGCCGGTCAAGTGCGCCCCAGTCGGGCCATAAGGAATGTTCAGCTCTGCACAAGGCGACCATAAGGGTCGCCCGTAGGACAGATTTTGGCTCTAAATGATGAACTCGTCGACTTACTGTGTAGCCCAGTTGAACATGAATCTCGTTCCTGATCAGATACTGGACTATAGCAGGGCTAACGGGGTTGAGGTGCTTCTGCTTCAGGAGGTACCGACCTCGGGTAACAGACTTGTAGGATTCGACTACAGTGCCGTTAGGACGGTTCTCAGCTGTAAGGAAGGTAGTGCAAGGGCAGCCATAGTTGTTCTAAATCAGGACATCGAGGTGGTCGCCTTGCAGGGGCTCAGCGATAGACACTTCGCCGTGGCTAGCCTTAGGAAAAGGCATGGTCAGGCGGTCGTTTTCGTGTCGGCTTACTTCAAGTACAGCATCCAGACACACATCTTTACGGCTAGGTTAGGTGGAATCTTGGATAGGATCGACCAAGACGTCGTGATAGGTGCTGATGTGAACGCGCACTCGCCGCAATGGTTCAGTCGGCCGGGCAACAACACGGGTTCAGCCCGTGGGACCCACGTCGAATCCCTGATTGCGGAGAAACACTTGACGGTGCACAACCAGCCAGGCCGCCTCGTCACGTACGAGGGGCACGGTATGGGGTCATCAAACATAGATGTGACTCTGACGAGAGGGGGTTCCTTGGTGAACTCCGTTTCTGAGTGGGACGTGCTCGATATCACCGATAGCGACCACAGGACCATCAGATTCAAGATCCGAATCGGATCAGGGCCAGAAGGGCCCGCACTAGGGAAACGTCGCTTCAATACTAGGAAAGCCAATTGGGATAGGTTTAGGTGGGTTCTGGCCCAGAAGGTTCTCGGTGACCCTGAGACCATGGTGGCGGGTGCGATGTCGTCGCTGGTGCCCTAACGCGCGCCCTCGGGCAGGCGATGGAGGCCTCGATGCCATGCTCACGCAAGTCCGCTAGGATAAAACCGCCGTGGTGGGACGCTGGACTCGGAGAGTCCAAGAGGCGTCTCAATAACTTCAGGCGCACCAGGGACTACAAAGTCGCGGATAGGGATCAATTCAGAGTGCTCAGGAACGAGCATCTGAAAAAGATTAGAAGGACTAAGATGGAGTCGTGGAGGAAGTTCGCTACCTCCATAAACTCGGACATCTGGGGCCCTGTCTATCGATGGGCTAGGAATGGTTCTTCTAAGAGTAGGATTCCAAGCTCCGTGCTCCGGGAAGACGGAACCTTCACGGTGACGGCTTTGGAGACGGCTGAGTGTCTGTTGGAGAGTCTCATCCCAGAGACGTGACTGCTCCCATCTTCGAACATGGCATTGTTGAGAGAGAGAGGCCGGAGGTCACGGAGGCGGAGGTTAAGAGGGCCGTCTGGAGGATGGCCCCTAACAAAGCTCCGGGATTGGATGGTATCACCGCCGGGGTTCTCAGGAAGGCCTGGGGCGTAATAGACACGCCGCTAACCAGTGTTCTGAGAGAGTGCCTTAGGAGGTCGGTCTTTCCGGATTGCTGGAAGACTGCTGAGGTCGTGGTCATCAGCAAAGGTCAGGATAGGGACCCGAGTCTTCCTAAGTCATATAGACCGGTCAGCTTGCTTTCGGCACCGTCAAAAGTGCTGGAATGGCTGGTGGTGGACAGACTTGAGGAAGAGACGGGGGAGCTCTGTCAGAGGAGCAACACGGTTTTAGAGTCGGCAAGTCCACAATCAGCGCGATTAAGTCGTGTCTGGATTGGGTGGACAACAGTCAGGAAATGGTGGTAGGTGTTTTCTTAGACATCTCAGGCGCTTTCGACAACCTGAGATGGAACATACTGATTAGGGACATGATGACTCTGGGCGCATCAGATGCGACCAGATCCATCATACAAAGCTATCTGACGGGCAGGAGGGCGGTGCTCTCGGTGGAGGGAGCGACAGCATTCGCGGATCTCACCAGAGGCTGCCCACAAGGCTCACAGCTAGGGCCAAGTCTTTGGAATTTGTCGATGGATAGGGCATTGGTCACCAACAATGATGATAGGGTTAAGCTGGTCGCGTATGCGGAAGACCTTGCGGTTCTCATCGCAGGTTCCGACATCTTGGACATTTAAGGACGAGCTAGAGCGACGCTCGGCGCTTTACGCGACTGGGCGGAGCTGAGAGGTCTAACCTTCTCGACGAGTAAGTCTCAAGCTATCCCTCTGAAAGGCGGGTTGCGGTCGGGTTTCACTGTGTCCTTCGGGGCGCAGGACATCGTGGCCGTGGACTCAGTTAGGTATTTAGGTGTTGAATTGGACAGTAAGAGAAATTTCTGGGCGCACGTGAGCATCGTGGCCGGAAAGTCCGAATCCCTGTACAGTAGGCTAAGAGCGGCATCGTCAGCTGACTGGGGTCTTCGGCAGTCCACCTCCGTAGTAATATACGGGGCAGTCTTCCTGCCCCATATCACTTACGCCGCGGAGACCTGGGCTAAGGGAGTCTTCACCAAGTAGGCGATAAAACTCCTCGGCAGCAAGCAGAGGAGGGCCCTTCGTTCTCTTACGGGGGCATACAGTACCACCTCAACGGACGCGTTGCAGGTGGTAGCTGGGCAGCTGCCTCTCGATCTGGAAATTCGTTGGCATGTGGTTAGGACTAGAAGGAAAGCTGGCCAAATCTCAGAGGAAGAGATGAGCGACCAGTGGGATAGGCTCTTGGACATCTGGCAGGATAGGTGGGATAGTAGCGTGAAGAGTCGTTGGACCTACGGTATCTTCCCAGACATCAGGAGGAGACTGGTCCTCCCACTCGAGGTGGATTACTACGTGTGCCAATTCCTAACGGGGCACGGGGACTTTAACTCCAAGTTGGAGTCCTTCAACCTACGGGGAGAGGCCATGTGCAGGTGGGAGACTGAGGACGAGTCGGTGGACCACGTGCTCTACAGATGCCCTTTGCTCTCTGCTGAGAGAGATAGGGTCATCAGGCAAATTGGAGAGGACGTTTGGCCGTGCGAGACCAAGGTGTTTATGGACACGAGGTCGAACTACTGTGCCCTACGTCGCTTTGCTAGGGAGGCCATCGAGGCCAAAAGATCTTCGGACAGGTTAGGCTTAGTTCCTGGTTAGGTAGGTCCCGTTAAGGCGACGGGCGGGTTGGTGGGGACCCAGGGTGGGCGCTCAGGCGTCCGTCCGAATCTCCACTACAAGGCCCACCACTAGCCGGCTGGGGAGCCAAAATAGTGGGAGGTCATAGACCGGGTTGACCAACCGACGTCAACTTAAAACCTAGTCGGTGCCACGGGAGAGGGGAGCCCCATTGCACGCTGGAGCGGCCCGCCCGCTCTGGCTGCTTTGCCCCTCGAGGTTGAGGAGCCTACCTCGGCTGAAACATGGTGGTTGTGGGACAGGCGTTAGATAGTAGAATCCAAACCACAGGACCTTGTGGGAAGACGGTACCCAGGTGGCACTTAACTGAGTCATCCCAGTCTTCAAGAAAGGTACGGGCACATGCCCGGTGCTGGTTTTCCATAGAGCCACGTACAAAAAACTCTAGAAGACCCTAGTCTGGTGTGAGGTAGAACCCGCCTTTCTAGTTCCACCCCCGCCCGTAAGTAGCGCATAGCGCTAAGGCACATACGAGGATAATTTATATATTATAATATGCATGTACCAGGTACCTACAGACCGACTCTGTGGGTAGATCGTGTAAGCAGTAAAATATAATATAATAACGCAGTTTCTTGAATCAAAAAATCGAAATTTTCGTCGCATATTTTCATTTCCGTATAAAGTAATAACAACACTGTCCGCTCCCCGATCTCCACCGCGGAACTCGACTCGAGCGAAGTACTGACGAGGGCGGCTTATAAATTTAGCGGGGAACGCCAATAACATCCAAACAGGAAGGGTAATACCACTAAAACGGGCCAAGAAACGAATTTTAGAAAAAAACGGCAAAAAACGACGCGACGCATGTATTTATTGTTGTATATAGCGATACTTACACGGTACCTACTCCCTTTTCCGCGACGCCGCTCTTTCCCGGGACTCGTCTGTGAAAAAGTAGGGCCGCGCACCGGCTATAAATTTAGCGGGGAACGCGAATAAGATTCAAACGGAGAGGGTAATACGACCAAAAGGAGCTAAAACTCGAATTTTTGAAAAGAAATCGAACTCTTCGTCGCATATTATATTCACGCCCATGTATAGTAATAAAGACACTGTCCGCTCTGCTAAATCATTTGACGGGGATCGCGAATAAGTCTTTAACGGGGAGGTCCGAAGTCAGTAGAGGCGTTAATACTCGAATTTTGAAAAAAATCAGAACATTTACGTTAAAAATGATAAGACGGAAGTGATAGCGAAACGACGAAAAAAAAAATTCAATTTATCACGGCCACCGTAACTTTTCGATTTTCGGGCGGCGGGTTCGAAACCACGACCCTCGAGTCACCTGTCTTAACACCTAACCAACCTAGCCACCTACTGAGATGTAGTTCTGAGTCAAATGGATGACTCTTAAGCCGCGTCACCGTGCTCGCGAAAAGCGAACGCCGTTTGGACGGCCGGCAATGTGCGTTTTAGCGGGCTATCCGACAGCGTCGGCGAGCGGACGACCTTCTCCTTCTTCGGACGTATAATACGCTAGCTTCGCGAAAAAAATCGAATCTCGAGACGCAAGTATTTATGCCTGTATATAGCGGTACCTACTCGATACCCAATCGGTACCTACTCTCGTTTAAGCGACACCGCTCATCCCCGGGACTCGTCTTTGAAAAAGTAAGGCCGCGCGCCAGCTATAAATTTAGCGGGAACGCGAATAAGATCCAAACGGGGAGGTCGATACGCCCCAAAACGCCTAAAATTCGAATTTTCGAAAAAAACGGCAAAAAACGAGGGCGACGGGGGCGCTCGGTTCGCACGCGATATCCGCCACGGAGGTCGAGCAGGTAAAAAAGTACGGCGGACTTATAATAGTAAATTTAGCGAGGAATGCGAATAAGGTCCAAACGGGACCGCCCGAGGCCCCGGGGGGAGTAAAAGTCGAAAATTTTGAAAAAAAATCGTGAAAAGTGATAAGGAGGAGTGATAACGCAGCGACGGCTCCGCAAAAAAACGACGCGACGCATGTATTTATGCCTGTATATAGCGATACATACACGGTACCTACTCACGTTTCCGCTCACGTTTAACCTCCCCTGGACTCGTTTTTGAAAAAGTAGGGCCACGCGTCGACTATAAATTTAGCGGGGAACGCGAATAAGTCTACGACGGGGCCGCCCGGGGCCCGCGAGGGTGGTAGAATCGAATTTTCGAAAAAAAAACGGCGGCGCTCGGTTCGCACGGGATATCCGCCGCGAATGACCCGCCGGGAAAAAAGTACGGCGTACTTACAATAGTAAATTTAGCGGGGAACGCGAATAAGGTCCGAACGGGGAGCCCCGAAACGGCGCGGGGGGGGGGGGGGTTGGCAGAGTCGAAATTGTTGAAAAAAAATCCTGAATTTCGAAAAAAACGGTGAAAAGCGATAAGAGGAGTGATAACGCTGCGACGGCTCCGCCACCGAAGGGAGACCGCCCTCCGGGGAAATTGAATTTTCTCATTGGAGGGTTCCCTATAAAGTGCCGATTTAACACGCGCGTTACACCGGCCCCCCTACTTCTAAAAATAATTAATAATTTAATATGTATAATTAGTACGTAATTAGTATGAATTTGTACGACCATTTATGGAATTTGTACGCAACTCGTTCTACGAGAAAAATCCATTTTTGTGTGGGGGGGCTGGGGTAACGTTATTCCAGCCCCTCGCAACCGCTTAAACACTGTTTATAGCAACTTTAAGTATACCAATAATTAGTACGTAATTAGTATGAATTTGTACGACCATTTTTGAAATTTGTACGCAACTCGTTCTACGAGAAAAATTCATTTTTGTGTGGGGAGGCTGGGGTTACGTTATTCCAGCCCCTCGCAACCGCTTAAACACTGTTTATAGCAACTTTAAGTATACCAATAATTAGTACGTATTTCGTATGAATTTGTACGACCATTTTTGAAATTTGTACGCAACTCGTTCTACGAGAAAAATCCATTTTTGTGTGGGGGGCTGGGGTAACGTTATTCCAAAAACAAAATATAAAAAATGGAAATATGCATATAATTACAAATGCATTTAGTTATCAATTTTTTTGTAAAATAATTTATATTTTGTAGCGTCTTACTAAATACCAAAAATACAGTTTTATATAGTTTGATAATATTTTGTTATATGATGTTACCTAGGTATTCACTATTTTTAATTTTTGTATCACTTGTTTTTTTAGATATTTATAACTATAAATCAATTGTTGTAATTATTTGTTTTTATTATCAATATTTTTATGTTTATTTTTAAATTCTTATTATTTCTAAAACATGATTTTTCTAAAAATCATCATTTAACACATTATTTACATTATTTTATATTCAATACTATATATTATTTAGCATTTAATATGCAATTAGATATGTATATACTAATGTACTATACTTCTTCGATATTACAGAATAAAATTGAAATTAATATCTCAAAGAAAACACATTTTTAATATGGAAAGGACAGTAGTATGAAAATAATAATTATGCAACAAATCACAAATGTATTTATTATTTACTCTCTTTATTGTAATTATAGGCATACTAGATAATATTTATAGTAGTCAATTTTTTAATGATTAATATAAATTAAATTCAATGTCTGTGTATTACATTATTATTGTTTTAATGGTTTGGATTAAATAGTGTATAACAATAATTCACACGATACTTTTGTTGTTTCTTTTACCGGTATTGGCTTTTTTTTAAGGTCATCAAATAATTCCCAGTTTTTGCCGCATCTTTTTACGTAAGCTGTGTAATGTCCTACTGTGTTCCGAAGTAAACTTCTCCCTCTACGAAAATGTATCACTCCTCGTAGTTCATATGAAATGGAGTTCATATTTAAAACTTGAGGGATATCACACAGCTTTATATCCATTGTACACCCTGCATCATTGCTGTGTTCAATATTTTCACCTAAATAAGTATCAGAAAAATTGTATTAATATGTATCCAAATATTTTAAATGATAATCATACCTTTCCAAAAGATTATTTCAATGAGAATGTGCACTGGTGATATTGTAGGCTCTATAGTTTGCAATCCATTGCAGCGTGTTGATTCAGAGGTTTTAGATTGTACACATACCAGTTTTTCCGTACGGATGCGATCAATTAGAAACTCTTGTAGTTCACGCAATTGACCATTTTTTGTTTGGAATGTTATATAGCTTACTGATCGTTGATATGGATGGTGTTTTTCACATTCCTTGTTTGAACAATTGACTGTCTCAATAACTGAAGGAAACTCAACCAACATTGCTTTTATAACTTTCACGGCTGTTGTATCGCAGATGAGAAGTGTAACATAATTTTGTAGGATCTCTAATTTTGGATTTAATCGATCACCTATCAATTCAGCTCTTTGTGTATAAGTGTTTGAAGAAATTCCATTTTTCAAAATTTTTGATATAAATTCTATAAATACTGTATTTTTCTGTAGTAATGCATTAGAAAAAATCGTGCTATCACAAAATGCCACCATAATCAATGATACTACAGCATCAAATGCACACGTATTGCTTAAAATAATAGCGCCATCAATATTTCTAATTTTAAGGCTTTTTAATTCATCCGCACGAGATCCATTTTTGAGTAAAGGGAGCGTTTTTATATTTTTTCTAGCATTCATATCAAGGTGGCGTAAATGTGGGTTAGGAAGAAGATAAGAATTACTCTTAAGCTTTTTTTTTGTTTTCTTTTTCCATGTCTCCATTGCATTATTTTCATTTAGATCGACATTCCTAACTTCTGGACAATTTTTACATATCCGTAAAGTTTCATCTCCTTCGATATGTGAAGAACAACTTGGAATAGCATGAACTGGTGTCTTACACATTGTGCATTTATGAGCACCATTAATTGATGGCAAAGATCCAGCGGAACACAAAGGACACTTGTAAACGTCATCATCTATGTCATTGTTATGAGGAATGATATTATCCTGCTCATTTATGAATATATTATCTGAGTTTTCACTTATGGATCT